AAATAAATTGGAAACATTCGTAATAGGAATTTTCAAGGTCAGAGAGTGTCTGCTTCGGAAAAGTATTTTTGAATGCGGACTTATCTGTATTTCGGCCTTTTTAGGCATGGACGTGAATTTAATAATCGCTTAAGGGAGTTGTGCACATTCAGAGGTTCGGGTGTCACCGCAAACTACTTGTCAACTTCCCGTTTAGCTCTCCAGTTTAATGCGTTGAAGAATCAACTATTGTATAATTGCTTTGCGGCTTGTATTGAATTTATAGATGAAACACTTATCTTTTGTGTTCTCAATAAAAAAACATGTTCATAATTAATACTTTAACCCCTGAGAGCGACTGGTTTCTAATTTCTCCCTACAGTAACATGCTTGAATCAAGTATAACGGTAAGGAGAAAAAAGGAAATGATCACCAATTCAAGAAACTCCTGATTCTCAAACAAATTCTCCTTGTCATTACCATAGGAAATGTAAAGAGAACAGTGAGGAGAATATGAATATTGATGTTAGGGTGTAGAGAGTTAAGTATCGTTTCGACAATTTGATTTAGTTTTAATTTCCACGCAATCTTGGATCTTTTCATGTCTACAATAAGAAACAAAAAAATTTCGTGTTGGTGTGAAAAAAAGAATGTAGCTTCTGTGTTTTCCTTGTTGTTGTGAACAAAATAGAAAAAAATATTGTTGTTCTCTGCGTATTGTCGCGATTATTAACCATTGGCGTATTGGAGATTTTCAGTTCATGGGAGGGGAGGTTGGGGTTAAACTCGATTTATGAAGTTGTCTCAATTTTTAATCAAGAGGACTTCCATGTGGGACGGACGAACACACAACTGGATGAAACCGGATTGACAGGAGTGCTGAGTCAGATTATGTTTAAGGAAAAGTCACTTCTATAAATTTTGGCAAAGACTTCTGATAAAAATGATAGAACATTCCCAAATTGCGGAGATCTTCGTACAAGTACGTCTTTACTTCCGTATTTTCAGCCTCAAATCGCGACCAATTTTAGTCAGGAAAAGAAAAAGTTCATCAGCGTGGAGTTGAAGTGAAGTTTAATGATCCTTTTCACAGAAACTCTACAAGCTACATTGGATCATTTCTTGATTAGTGGAGTCCAGTCTCTCGCGGGTGGCTGAAGCTTTTGATCACTTGCATCTGTATCGAACCTGTATTAAAATGAAAAAAAAGGCAATCGTCGTTTTTATTTTCTTTTTTACTGCTGCCGAGACTTGTAAAAATAACAACAGCGAATGAGTGTGGAAAGTTTCTATCTATATATGCCCTAAGGCAAAAAGAATCCAGTTATCAACAAATCTATTCATTTAATTATAGAATGTGAGCCGGATACCGCCTGTGTCACGCTAAAAGTTACCTGATTCCCCCCCAATAAGGCTCTTTAATATTCCTATGATCCCCTCGTTGGATGAGGTAGACAGTTGGATTAAGATAAATAGAGGGGGTAAGTTTGTAAAGAGACTGTGGTGCTGTGTCAGTGGGAGGGTATAACAGGGTAATTTAGTATTACCTACTGAGTTGATAACGTAACTTGACCACCGTAAAGAGTTTCGCAGCTGACGTTTCGAGCGTTAGCCCTTCGTCTGTCACTCTGACGAAAAGCTAATGCTTGAAACGTCAGCTTCAAAACTCTTTACGGTGGCCAATTTACGTTATTAACTCAGCTGATAATACCAAATTTCCTAGTTGGATAAAAAGCTTCAATTCTCATGAAACTATAGAAACAAATGAGTAACAATCAGCAAGGGGTTGGTCAGAAGGTTGCTTAAATGCGCGCAACTAATATAAGGACTTTTCTGAATAATTCTCCTCTAAGCGTGCGTTACATTCACTAACCTCCAGATATTTAGTTGTTCCCTGACAAGGATCACCGAAGTGGTGGTTATCTGCGTGCAAACTGCAACTCTGATCTCCATCGCAGTTCCGATACACATAACTGTACGCTGAAGTTTCGCAGGATGTAGTATATACCGAACCTGAGCAGACGTGTCCACCCGTCTTGCGGCCGTAAAACGCCGATAGGACATCGATTCTGTCACTGCCGTAACAACGAATGTCACCCCAGTTGCGTTCGCAAATTCTCTTCAGTCTTTGTCGTCCTCCCGTTTTACATCTATACGAGACCTGTGGATCAAGAATACTACAAAACTTACCTCAACTGCTCCTTTAAAGGAGGACAGGAGGTTACAGGATCAGGTGTCAGAGTATTCCTTTCTCTACCTTTTTCAATTCGACAGCCAACAACAGACGAAACATCAAATTGTTAAACTGGGTGTTCACCACTGGTTTCGAAAGTCATATGATCATTATTCTAGTCATATTAACATGCTATTGGTTATCACAGGACACTCACCATAAGCTTTCATACATTTTTTCCCACTTATGTTCTGCGAAAGAAATTAAGAGCTTCTACGGCCAGGGCTTTTGCAAGCGCTCATCAATTAGGCTTTAACTTGCAAATTTGAGCTGAAGAGTCCCTCCCTGTAAGTCATATACTTTAAGTTGTTCTTTGAACTTTGAACCTACCGTGAGATATTTCACAGTGCCAACACACGGATCTCCAAAAGCTGAATTCGAAACGTAAAGGCTGCAGTATGATCGCCCGTCGCATTCGCCACTGACGTAACTCGTAGCACCGGTGTAACAGTTTGTATTTTCTGTACTTCCCCTCTCCGAGCAAACTCCCGACCGGTCGCGTCCGTACCATGCGCTTCGAACATCGATCACCCCATGGTTGCAGCTTAAGTACATCGTGTTCCGTTCACAGGTCCGGTCCCAGTATCCCTCTTAAAATATATGTTGGTGTAAATATATAGATTACAGTAGATTACATTACAATTTGAACTAACTTACTCAAGTAGGGGAAGGGAAGAACTAAACTCGGAACTCTCGCTTAGCTAGCTGAGGGCGGAAATCCGTCCTTACTTTCGGTATATGCGAGAATGGATTTCGGATAAACCTAGAGAACTTTCACAATACTTGCTTTACTCGTCTTTAATGCTTCAAAATACTCTCAGATGTAAGATCAATGCAAATCGAAGTTACAGTTTCGAAACTACCATTCACTTTATGTTAACGGCTACACAGACAGCACATCAGATAAAACCAACTATGAACTTTGAACCCCGCCTCCAGCTTGCAATAAAAGTAACCAACGCGTCATGCACATTTACGTGCCTCCGTTGTCTTCACGAAGTTCCAGAAAGTTTGGTAAAAATTATGATGTAAATCAGATATTCTGCCACGTCAACTACATCCGATAATATTACTAAAGAACCGATTCGATACAGTGGCATCAGTAACTCTGTGATTTCAATCAGAAGATCATATGATACGACAAGAACAATGGGCAGCTGTTTGTACTTTCAAGTATTTCAGAGAGGTTTTATGCAATAAAATCTCTATCTCACAGTATTTTTAGCGGACCATTTTATCATACACAGTGCAATCATGATCTTAAGTATTTTTTTTACGTTGAAATGAAAGTGATTTTCCTTCACAGTTGTTAGCCGTGGAAAATACTGTTGTTGAAGACTGTGAGGGGAACCTTGAACAGATTTCAGCCATCTTTCAGTTATACAACACTGTTGAAATTCAGTGGGTAGACTATTGCGCTAACTTCGGAGTTGTTACACCCCCAAATTCATCGGAGTCTTGTCCGCAAGTGTGAGATCAAAACAGAAAATTCAACCCTTACCTGTGCAACAAAAGTTCACCGCCAGGAAAAGAAAAATTGCCAGCAAACGTAACATCGTTATTCCGAAACGAACCTTGAGACTAAAACAGGAGAGAAATGATAGGATATTTTCTGGAGTTATTTTGTTTAACCATATTCGGGTGGTGATATAGAAACACACCACAGAGCTCAGTTTTTTATCATTATGAGGTGACCAGCCTATTCACAAACAACTTTAAGACTGCTAAGTGTTTACAAAGTTTCATAAAAATAAAAACTCTACGCAGCAACTTTAAACCAACTTTAACATCTCTATGTAAGCTTCTCTTACCTCTTGAGGCCTGAAAATTTTTGCAGTGCCGACAGGATGAAACTCTGTCCTATTATGGACAAAGAAGTAACTTGGCGAAGAAGTTATGGTCCTTGTAAACTGGTACCTAGATTCTTTCCTGATTCGGAAAAGGTGCGAGGGAACTGAAAACGAGCTAACTGTTTATTCCAGGGTCATCTGTTTCGTGCCATATCCGCGGAATTCAGATGTTATCGAAAGGACCCTCAATGCACTAGACTTACAAAAACTGTGCCATAGAATATAAAAATTGACTGATGGAAAGTTTTCTGTTAAAACTGATTGTCGCTCAGACCTATGATTCAAGAGCTTCTTCCTCATACGAAGTTGCTGGAATGCGTTTTTAGGTCAGATGAATAAATAGCTGACTGTGAAGTGTCATCACAAAAGACCACAACGTAACTCAAGACACTTTGAAAAGATATTCTTATCAGGTATCCTGATATTTCTGTTCAAAGTCTGATTAATGAATAGAAACACGAGCTGCTGTCTAAATGACCGCCACAGGAGTACAAATTATCGTATGGCGGAAGTCGTTTTCTTTAAAGAATAAGTAAGTATAGAAACATCTGGGTCACGTAGGAGTAGGCGAACCTAATATCTTCCTTTTTCGCTGTCGGATGCCATATCTGAGCCAAAAAAAGACTAGGAGGTAAGATACGACATATCTTAAATTCTTATTTTACGAGCGTCCTTGATACTTCTCTGCAGCCTGCTTGTTTCCTGGTTAGAACTTCAATGAAAACGGAGGTCCTTTGCGTCGACATCGAGAAGGATCTGTTTCACTGCGTCTATGCACTCTAAGTCGGTTTGTTTCTTGTTCTGTGAATCTCTAGTGTCCTTTTGCATGACTGTTGCTGGATCATAAGTTGTTTTTTTTTACAAAGATCTGTATCTGACCTTTCGTGAGAGGAGATAAATTCAGTAATTTTTGACTATGCGGTGACTTTTTGAGAAAACAAAATCATGCTTAGTTACTATCTCTTTTTTGACCCCTCGATCTTATTTTGCACATGTGATTGTACACAATGCAGCGCTCTTTCGTTGATTGAAGGTTCCTTACCACTCGTTATTGCTGGGGTTTTTCTTTTTTAATTTTACCATTAGCCAACTCACGTCAACGAATCAAGTAGGTGCGAAATTACGATTTGGTATATCATGTTTTCGTGCCTTTTTCCTGTATCTTTTTTGTAAATGACATAAATATTTTCAAGCCGTATCGCGAAAAGAAAGGTTTTCAAGTTAGATGAGAAAGAAATGAATAAAGATCAACGATGAAGTGAACAACAAGTTCAGACAAACACAGAAAATGTAATTTTTCAATTTTCAACAACATTTTGCGACTTCGACTCGTGAGGAAGTATTGTCGAGGATTTCCAGGATTGAAACAGTTGGAAACAAAAAGCTCAAATGAAAAGTTCAACATTTTATCATTAAACAATCATAACTATCTAAATATTAAACGCGCAGCTGGTCGAAGCATTCTCTGTGAGGGTATTGTTTGTCTTCGAGGCAGACTGGCTGCTTAAAACACAGAGGCCTTGATATCATTTTCAACACCTAAACGCAGCCGAAGGACTGGGCTATTAGGGACCGGTTATCCGTTTATCGTCTGGGTAAGGGATGGGGGGGGGGG